CTCTAATGAGAGACAGCAGGCCTGTTGTCCACTGGGCAACTTTACCTTTCAAGTATTTGTACATGCTGTTAAATAACATCCCATCCTTGGAAGCAGAAAGTCAGGGTGGAACTTTAAATTCCTACCTGGAAAAGTAAAAGGGGGCTTGCTCTCTCACATTCAGTTTAAATGGTTAAAGGGAGCAAACATCTCGTCAAGAACTGGAATTGAGCGAAGCACCCAGAGGTCACATTGCCAATAGCAATTCCAGATAGACCCGCCCGTTGCAAATCCCAAATTATGGCCCCGTTGTGTTCAATGGAGCTATTCGGAAATACATCACCCATCGGTAAATTGCAACAGGTAGAAGACTAGGTAATCACTTTGTCATGTTTTGCATGTAAAACAGAAAAGCACAGGGCTTTCTTTCCACTGTAAAAGTCATTCATAATAATGGGGATGGACATAAACTTGAAAGGTAGTTTAATTTTGAGTGCAAGCATTAACTAAGTGGTCTCAAGTCTTTGCTCTCATTCAGAGTGACAGGCCCAAGAACAAATCAATTTCACTTGAAAATAACACCAACCTTTCTTGTCAATGTTCTGACTTTTTAAAGCCCCAGTAAGCAGCAATCGTGGAAGAATTTGCAAACTTTGCCATATTGGCCTTCAGTTGAATATTGCAAAAAAAAAATGCATGTCATTGAACAGGGAGTGCAGCGCAGAGCTGAGCAGGAGGTATTTGAAGGAGTGACTCAGCTTCTGCCAACACAGAAACATGGATGCATTGTCACGTCTCATTTTGTTGGATGCACAGACAATTAGGAGCAGATAACACCAACGTCTAGGGAATATTATAAACCATGTTCGCATAGCCATCAGTAGACCATACTTGTGCAAACAGCAAAGTTATTTTGATTCCAGAAGAAGACGACATTTTGTTAAAGAAACCAATGATATAGAACATAGAACACAGAACAGTAAACATAGGAACAGGCCCTTTGGCCCAACATAGATACAATTCCAGGACAATCCTTAACACAAAATCTACTGAAATTTTACTTCTAACTGGAAACTACTAAAATGGTACCATTCTTACAAAGCACTAAATCAGCTATAAATCTTTCTGAACACACTGTAGCCTGACCTCAGAACTTAGTTCTATAGATTATAAAAAAGGAACTGAGGAGGATAGTGTGGAACTCCAAAAAAGGCACTGACATCTTGAGGGAGTGACAGATGACTAGGGGGCAGAGGTTTAAGGTGACAGGGGGAAGGGTTAAAGGAAACAGATGTGCAAAGCAAGTTTTTTTTAAATAGAGGGTGGTCGGTGCCTGGAATGCATTGCCAGGGAAAGTGGTAGAAACCTATAATATTTAATCATAGAGTTGTAAAATCCAGGGATCTAATAAGAAGACCCGTTATGATCTGAATTGGACCTTGTGATTCCCACCCTCATGTTAATTTCTACTCCTCTTACCTTCTGGTGGTTGGCTGAATACGCTTCACTACAACAAGGACAGATGCAATTTTGGTGGTGGGGGGTGGTGGTGTTTCCTTTCAATTCCCTCTAAGTTAATTCCTTACTATGGCTGATGTACTTATATAGAACTCATTCTTGAAGGATATAATGACTACATGCTTTTAGGTGATGTGATATCTCTTTGCTACATCAATAATGAATGCATTAGCCTTATTGAACAGGATGTGCAAGAACAAACATTTCTGCTTGGTATGCTAGGGCACTCCAGTATTTTGACTTTACCTGCTGCAGTTCATTTTGCAGGGGTGGCATAGAGGTTTGGTGAGAAGGTCACTGTGCAATTATTTATATTTCAGCTGGCTATTACCCAGCAGAGTATTTCTTGCATTTTTTAATTTCAGTTTTATGGTTTGGAGGCGAATATACATAGGATAGTGCCCCCATGCATCTGCTGCCTCAGTCCTTTTAGATGATAGTGGTTGTGGGTTTGGAAGGTGCTGTCTACAAAGCCTGGGTGGGCTGTTGCAGTGCATCTTGTCAGTAGTACATACAGCGCCGCTGTGTCAGTGCTGGAGGGAGTGAACAGTAAAGGGGTCAATTCATAGAATCCCTACAGTGTGGAAATAGGCCCTTCAGCCCAACAAGTCCATACTGACCCTCAGAACATCCCACCCAGACCCATCCCCCTATAACCCACCTAATCTACACATCCCTGAACACTATGGGCAATTTAGCATGGCCAATCCACCCAGCCTGCACATCTTTGGACTGTGGGAGGAAACCTGAGCACCCGGAGGAGGCCCACGCAGACACGGGGAGAATGTGCAAACTCCACACAGACAGTCGCCTGAGGGTGGAACCCGGGTCCCTGGCACTGTGAGGCAGCAGTGCTAACCACTGAACCACCGTGCCGCCCAAATTAAAACTAAATTAAACTAAAATTAAATTAAACGGGCTATTTTTCTGGGTCATGTTGGGTTCCTTTGGGCATTGCTGGCACTGCACTAATCCAGGCAGATGGGGAGTATTCCGTCACTCTCATGACTTGTACCATGTAGATGGAGGACTAGCTTTTTGTAGTCAGGAAATAAAAGTTACTTGCCTCAGAATTCCCAGCCTCTAACCTGCTCATGTACACAATATTTAACATGTTGACAATGGGGAGATTGAGTGATGGTGATGCCACTGAGTGTCAAGGAGTGCTGTGATTCAATTCGCTCTTGTTAGAGATGCTCATTGCCTGGCACTTACATGACATGAATGTTACTTGTCACCTGTCAGGCCAAGCATAAATGTTTTCTCAATAACACTGTGTGGTTGGCCAGGCAGCATCATTTCTGAAGAAGGGTCCCGATCCGAAACGTCAACTTTCCTGCTCCTCTGATGCTGCCTGGCCTGCTGTGTTCCTCCAGCTCCGCACTGTGTTATCTCCGACTCCAGCATTTGCAGTTCTTGTTATCTATAAATATTTTCTAGGTCTTTTACCATTTGAATACGGACTAATTCAATATCTGAGGAGACATGAATGATTGACGTTGTCCAATCATCAGTGAACATCCCAACTTCTGACCGTATGATAAAGGAAAGATGAAGCAGCGGAAGATGATTGGGCCTAGCACACTAACCTGCCTATCAATCTGGCAAAGGGCTGTGATGCCGTGTGAGCCACCTCCATCCACGTCATCCTGCAATCTTGCATTCTTCAAAGGGTGAGGTTCTACTGTAGCCAACAGGATTCTGTAAGTGCTGGCCATTGAAGTACAAAGGATAGGATCCCTTCATCCTGTTTTTGCCAGAATGTGTTTTTGAAATGCACAGGGAATGCATATTAAAGCACAGCCCTGAACTGTCCAGCAGAGATACATCTCAAAATACTCCAGCTGTGCACACTGATGGCATGATCAGGGTTGGCCTTGCTGATGCCCTGTGCTGCTCGAACCAACCCTTGATTCGCAGTGTGGTCCCAAATAGGCAAACAGAACCAAGCATTGTGCGGTAAACCCAATTTCTTGAATTTTCTGTAAGGAGGCGAGTGGCTATTGCCCTGATCATGAAAAATTTCCATCCTTGGCCTGCGCTCAGAACTCTAGGTTTTTTTAAAAGAATTCTTGCTTGGGATGAGGGAATTGATGGCAAGACTAAAACTTGTTACCATTGAGTTAGTGGTTTTCTACACCATTTCAGACAGCAATGAAAATTCAACCACATTGTTGTGGGTGTAGAGTCACGTGTAGACCAGGGAGGTAAAGACAGCAGATTTCCTACTCTAAAAGACGTAGTGAACCAGATGGATTTTTACAAAAATTGATTGCTGATGTGGTCACCATTACTAAGCATTATATTCCAGATTTTATTAACTGAATTTACATTCCACAAGCTGCCATGGTGGGATTTGAATCCACATCCCAGGTTCATGAACCTGGTCTCTGGATTGTTAGTATTGTGATGCCACCATCTTTCTCTCTGAGGAATATAAGAGGAGAACTCAAATAGCAGTGTATAATACATCCAATGAAGTTTTCTTTGGACATTCTAACTGCTCCCTCCATATTGCCCCATGGTGCTGCACCTCACCGAGGGCTATATATGCCATGTGCTGACCCAGCTACAAACACAACTTAAAGCAGTAAATGCCGTAGAAAGCACAAAGAGCTTGATCATCCCTATGCAATTATTTCTTCAAAAGGGGAGTTGGGGAATACACTTCATTAAAATTCTGTCTGTATGCAGCGGGTAACTTTATATCCATCAACAATGGCATTCTAGAGGAAAATTCTGGTAACACAGGTAGCGTAAGTGAGGACGGAGCATCAGAACCTGAGGCACATTGTAGAAATATAGTTATGAATCAGTGGTTTGGGTAATGAAAATTAATCCAATGCAATGATATTTTTAAGTCTTATAAATAAAGCTTGCACCTATACTTGTTGACAGTAATATTTTTTGATCAGAATCAATGAACTGGAAGACAAACTGATTTCTTTAATAATATTCTCAGATAACCACCCCAATTGAACTGGCTCGTTCTGAGTAAACAAGTGTTGCCGTTCTTCAGAAAGGTAACATATAGTAGGAGCTAGCAACAGTAGGGAAATATAACCGCAAATTGCAAATTACAGGCCGTCCTCAGGTTGTGAACGGACTCCGATTTTGAGTCCGTTTGCAAGTCGATTAGTATGGAAGTTGGAACACAATGCAGGACTATATATAAAGTAGCCGTTTGCAAGTACAGGATGTGGTCATACCGCAGATTTTTAAAATTACACCCACATATGGGATTGCATTCGTACATCGGACATTCATAAACTGGGGACCCCCTGTAATTTGAAACAATTAAGCTCGATTTCTGTTAAAACAGATATATCAAATTAGGCTCAATTGGTGATCTAAATCAAGAATCATATTGAAAGATATGTACCTTGATGCACTCCTATCATAGCAACAGTCTGAATTATATCACAATAAATCCATTCTCCCATCCATTCAATCCATTATATTCGACCAAGCAAGTTTGTTTTTCAAAGGGTTCCATTACTCACGTGGCCATGAAGATCTGTATTCAACAACATCAGTGCGCAAGTAAGGCAATGGACCCCATCTGTAAGAGGACAGAAAGGCTTATTCTAGTGCTGTGTCAGAACCATTGCAATCAGACAATTCCAGCCTTAGCTGAACGTGACAACCTGATACTGAGCTGAGTGACTGTTTAAAGACCATTCACCATGCACACTTGAAAAGAATGAAGCACATCTTGATGCACAGTGCACTCTGCTGGAAATTGGGGTCGTTGTTAAAATGGAAATTCTTTCAGTGTTTTCATATGGAGTGTTTTCTGTGTTGACAGAGTGTTGCAGTAGTAGTTAACCTTCTACAAATATAAATAGATCTCTAGCACGTGAAAACTGAGGGAAGGATATAAGGACGCACATCAAAAATTTATCAAGTGCCACACTACCCCACTATGGTGCAGTGTTTTCAGATATAAAAATACTTTGTTCTTGGAAGGAATGGAAACTAATCTTGTTGTGGAGCTGGGCAAGGGACAATTATCCAGGTATCGTGAATAATTGCCCATAGTCATTGGCCAAGAGGGTTTACATAGTGATTGACACAGCAGAGATGGCCAGCCCCATAAATAATCAATAGCAAACAGGTAAGGAGAGGGGGATAGAAACGAGTGTATCCAGGGGATAAGAATTTTCTTTGTGAAAGACCAGGAGTTCCCCTACATTAGCCCAAGGCAAGAAGAAAGACAGCTGCTACCAAAGACTGTCGAAGAGTACCACAAAAGACTGCAGAACATCTGGAATGTGGGAATGCACTGTCTCCACTCCTGCATTTTATAGAATGGCTTCAGAATCAATGGAGAATTCTCACTGGTCATAGGTCATCTGTTTCCTTCCTTTGCCTAACTAACTAATGTATCATATCTGAATTGCTGCTTCTCAATAGACTAGCAGAAAATTGCGACAAGTTACTGACTGCCTATATCAGGAACCTACGAAAATTAACAACTGCCAATGTAAGTCTACATTAAGTCTATGTAAGTCTTCCGTCCCTCTCTTGTTTGCCCACACAGAGGAGGCCAGAGAAACCTGAGAATGGAACAGCATGAGCTGAAATCACCCAGCGCCCAGACAGCGAACCAGCACACACCTTGGAATCAGACAAGCGGAAACAAATCTCAACAGTACGTTCACAAATTCCAATCAAACTATTTCCTCAGAGATGCATTTTTCCAACATTCACTTCAGAAAATAATGATAAACATATGTAAGTATTGCTGAAAAAAAAAACGCATTGTTGAAGATTCTCATCTTGCATTCATCAGGACAATTTGCAAGAATATCAATAAGGGGAAAAAATAGAATAATTAATACCATATGAGATGAAAGCGCCAACTAGTGAGTAAGTGGATTCTGATTGGTAGATGCATTGCCTTGGGAGCCAAGTCTGTAATATACAGGGCCATATCCTTTGCAGACAAGAGGATCATAGGCATGTAATGAGCCCATTTCAACTCAACAAGATAGGTGACAGCCATTCGATGATTCATTTCACACTGTAATGCCTCTGTCCAATCAGAGGCCTGCATTATGAACATACAAGTTAGAAGCAGCAGCAGGCCATTCTGCCCCTCAAGTGCACTCAGCTACTGAGTGAGGTCATGGCTGATGCAATTGTAACCTCAAGTCTGCATTCCTACCTATCATTAATGGCCTTTCACCCAATTGCTTAAAAAAGAATGTAGCTACCTTTTTTTTCCCAAAAATATTCAAGCACTGTGCTTCCACCACTTTTTCAGGAAGGCAGTTTCAAAGACTGAAACCAAAAATCCCTCATCTCAGTTTTAAATGGCCAAACAGTGATTTTTAAGTAGCAGCTCCTATTCCTAGATTGACCCATTAGAAGAAACATTGTCTCCATACGTATCCTGTCAAGACCCCTCATGATTTTATATGTTCAATCAAATCATCATTTACTCTTCTAAACTCCAGGAGGTACAAGCCTAGCCTGCCCAACTTTTCCTCACAAGACAACTACCCATTTCCAAATTGCCTCCAACACATCAATACTGCGTATAATATTCCAGATGCAATCTCACAAGTGTCCTGCAAAACTGAAACATAACCTCCCAATTTTTGTAGTCAAGAATCCTATTTACTTGCCATATCTGCACACTTTCAGATTCAGGTACTTTCTAATGATTTTCCTTTATGGACTATAAACTGGAAAATGGAAGCTGATTTAGCTACATAGTTAAAAATTACTCACAGCAGTCTTTTTTTCGACATCTTGAAGATCAAGTAGGATTGTTAGGATCAGCTACTGCATCAATGATCAACTATCGCTTTGCAGACAACATCATGTCACGGGGAGGCGATAGCCTAGTGGTATTATTGCTGGACTGTTATTCCAGAGACCCAGATGATGTTCTGGGGAGACAGTAGGAACTGCAGATGCTGGAGAATCTGAGGTAACAAGGTGTAGAGCTGGATGAACACAGCAGGCCAAGCAGCATCAGAGGAGCAGGAAGGCTGATGTTTCGGGCCTAGACCCTTCTTCAGAAATGCATGCTGCTTGGCGTGCTGTGTTCATCCAGCTCTACATCTCGTTATCGCTGATGTTCTGGGGACCTGGGTTCGAATCCTGCCACGGCAGATGGCAGATGATTTTAAACGTTGCAATTGCACGAGCCTCCACCACTTCCTCTGACAGCTTATTCCATACACGCACCACCCTTAGAGTGTAAAAGTTGCCTCTTAGGTCCCTTTTAAATCTTTCCCCTCTCACCTTAAACCTATGCCCTAATGTCGGGTGCCATCCCTACAGGACTGCATTAATCCAATTGGAAGGTCCAATATTAACTGACATGGGCAGTAAAATCAACCTTGGCAGAATTGCCTGATTCAAGATGGCAATATTTCAGGGACAACTGTGCATTTTTTCCACACTGCTGAGATGCATGCTGAGGACCTGATGTCACTCAGATGCTCGTGTGACAGGGGAAAAACCTGTCCTCTTCAATCTCCAGGGGCTTGCATACACCCAGCAGCTTCTCCTATGTCTGGTCCAAAAGCACATCTCATAAAAACACCAGGCTCCGAGGGGAACAATCCCAGCTTCTCCAAACTAACCTCAGGGCAAAATTCCCTCATCCCTGAGGATATTCTGGCAACTAATCACTCCACCCCCTCAAGGCGCCTCAGATCCTTCCTAAAGCCTGGTGACTAGAACTGGATGCACTATGCTGGTTGGGACCAAACTTGAACTTTATAAAAAGAATTAGCATAACTTCACCAATTTTGTGCTCAATGCCTCTGTTTAGGAAGCCCCAGATCACAGGGTGATAAGAACAGGAGTAGACCATACTCCTCTTCAGCATGTTCTGGCATTCCAGAAGATCGTGGCTGATTTATATCTTAATTTCATTTAAACACTTTGGCTCTGTAACCCTTTCCCTGTAACCCTTTAGTGAACAAAAAAATCTCAGATAGTTAATTGGCAAGCATCTATTGGTTTTTTTTGTGTGAGAGAGTTCCACACTTCCACCAATTACTGTTCTCCACCTCTCCCCCCAACTTGTGTGAAGGAATGTTAGCTAACTTCTTGCTGAATTACTTCTTCCCTTCCCCTTCGGCAGCAGAAATAATTCCTCCTTGATCAAATATACTTTTGAAACTTTCAACTTCATGAGATTAGCTGCAAAACCTGCAGAGCAAAATGTCTAGTCAATGCAGTCATCCAATTTAACCTGTCATACCCATGAAACTCAATTCTTTGTGGAACAGAATTAATCACTATGCAGCATCTTGAAGACAGAAGAAATTAGAAGGCACGGGGAATTTAAGTAAAAGTGATGGGACTAGCAAACAGTTCTGTTCCCTGTTTGAGTTTAATAACTTCCTGGATGAAGCAGTTGAGTTGCGCTTTTAGCTGATAAATTGTGGGAAGGTTCAGTTCCAAATCTCAGCTGTCACCACCACCATGGGAAGACATCTAGCAGAGGGAGCAGACACTACTGAAAGGGGAGCAAGGACTAATCTAATCTCTGTATCACAGGTTTAAAAAAAAGAGTGGGAAGCATGTATGAGTACATAGGTATTGCTGGCCAACAGCAGAATGCCTTCTACCATCCTGTCAGTGATGCAACACATTAATGGAGATGGAGTCATTCTCTATCAGGTGGGGAGAGAAAAAGTCCTCAGATGGACAGCAGGTTGGGAATCCATTCCAGGCATGCAACACTTAGTAGTCATGTCTCAAAGTACTCACATAACTTATGTAAAATCTTGTGTCATGTTCAGTCATTCCAGGACTCCTTGGAATTCTTAATTGTTATGCTAATGATAAACACCAGCACTATACAACAACTGTGAATGTGACTGCAGCTGTCAGAGAGGGTTTCCAATATCTTTAGACATAGCATTCACTAGGGCCGGTAGTGTTATAGTGCAATCAATGTTCCCTCTAAACTGCAGCCACTCAGTGTCACTGGCCTAAATATTGTGGCTAATGCTCAGGGGACACAGGTATAATCCGTACTATGGCTACTGGTGGAATTCAAAACTAATTAATAAATCTTGAATTGAAAATCATGGTGACCATGAAACAATAATTGATCGTTATAAAAACCTATCAGTTTCCTAATGCCCTAAAGGGAAGGAAATCTGCCATTCTTATCCCATGACTCCAGATCCATTATCCTCTGAAATGTGAGCCATTCAGTTCAAGGGCAGTTAGAGAGATGGGTATCAAATACTGACTTTGTCAACGTCACCTACATTAAAGAATAAACGTAATATTCTGTGGTATGAGTGGTTTTCGGTTTCAGTTGCAAATGAAATTAAATGCATAAAGAAAACGAACTCCCTTTTCTAATGGCCTTGATACTAAATGCCTCAAGGATTTTCTATCATTAGCAGATTCCTCCAGAGATCAAACTGAAATCAGTATCTGTTAAATATTCAACAGAGAGAAGAGAAATCTTTTGTTTTTAAATTGAGATGCATTAAAATGCGCAATCATTAGTTTGGAGAAGAAATGCGGTGAACAACTCTTCTCCATGTGGAGTGAAACGTGGATAAATGATCATCATGAGACTATTAGATTCAACTTGATCTGCCGAATCCAGGCTGAAGAGACACGTAACATCTGCGCCAGGTTAAATAAGCAAAATGGCAGATGGTTTGAACAATGTTGACTGTGGTCAGATGAATAACAGAAAACTTTCAAAACCATTCTTTTGCAGACTGAATTATGATAAATGACTAAGGTTAAAAGGAAAGGGAGAACAAAGTTAAGATGGCTAGATGGTGATGTCCGAAGGCAAAGCAAACAGATGGGGAAATATATCATATTAAGATAAATAACTCTTGTGGAATGTTTCTTTTAGACTTGGCCAGACTGTTCTGCTGGCAAACTGTCTAAAGGGATAACGGTGAAGGGGACAGGGCATAAAGGTAAAGTCACCATAATCTAACCAGACCATAGGGCTGCTCTCCTATGAGAAAGAGAGAGATGACTTGTTGTCATTTTACTTGAGGGGTACCATGCTTCAGGTGAGTGGAAAGATTGAGGAGGAGAGTCTTTCATGGTGACCTCAGGCAGTGCAGGAATTAAACTGATGCTGTTGTGTCATGTTCCATTGCAAACCAGCAGTGTCTCAGTGGTTAGCATTGCTGCCTCACAGCACTAGGGACCCAGGTTCAGGTCCACCCTTGGGTGACTGTCTGTGCAGATTCCGCACATTCTCATAGTGTCTGTGTGAGTTTCCTCCTGGTGCTATGGTTACCTCCCACAGACCAAAGGTTGGGTAGGTGGGCCATGGTAAATTGCCCATCACGTCCAGAGATGTGTAGGTAAGGTGGATTAACCATGCGAAATGCATGGTTACAGGAATAGAGTAGGATCTGGGTGGGATCGTCTTCGGAGGGTCGGTGTGGAATTGATGGGCTGAATGGCCTGTTTCTCCACTGTAGGGATTCTATAAACCAGCTAATTGACCCTCAACCGGGAATAAACGTAGTACCAAGAGGTGTGTTAGGAACCAGATAGGCATTGAAAAATATGAAGGGCTGCTACAGTATTCCATTGCATAGATTCGGGTCAAGTCCTAAGTTATGGCTGAGCTCTTAGTGCTCTGTGGTATAATTCTTCATTACTTAACATAATGCTGTGGTTATTGATAACGTGATGCTAAAATTTAGCATGTAAAAATTAATTTCGACATAACCCTAGACAGGAATTAAAACAGACAAGGGTGCAGCTGTGCATAATGCTTCACTGAGGTGTGCTTAAAGAACATGCGAGTGTTTTGTTCAAAATTGGCTCACACGTACAGATGTTCTATTGGCTCTGGGTTAGATCTCATGTACTTAGGAGAGATGGGGTGAATAACTTGCACCCTTTTGGGACAAGGCAGGCTTGATGGATCAGCTGGGCAGATTGGACCTGCCTCTTGGTCATGCAGCTGAGCTGATCCCAAAACTGCACCTTATTCATAAAGGAAAATCAATACTAAAGCAATTTGGTTCTGTACAGTAGCATATGAAGAAACCAAGCATACACTGGAGTTTGACTCTATCCAATAAACAAAACCAAAGGCATCACTTACTCGTGCAAGATTATATTTACATATATTTGAGGCACCAGGAGGGTCCAACAACTGAACGGACCCCTAGTTAACTTTGGGGGAAAGACCGAAGATGGGGGTCTTTCCCCACTGCCCCTTGGCGGCAGCTGCCCCAAGCTTTAGTGCATCCCTCAGCACACAGTCCTGGACCTTGGAATGTGCAACACTCGATCAAGGTCAACTCCTTGCTCTGGAAGAACAACAAGTTTTGGGCAGACCAAAGAGTGTCCTTCACTGAGTTGATGGTCCTCCAGGCACAGTTGATCCTTGTCTCTGTGTGCGTTAGGGTAACAGCTCGTAGAGCACAGAGCCCTGCATCACAGAGCTGCTCGGGACGAACCTTGACAAAACTACAGCCTTCCACTCTGAGTGTTAACACAGATCTGTGACCACACACCCCACAGTCTGAAGGCTTACCTTGAGAAGGAATAGTGCCCATGTTACACTGGTAGTATCGTTCGGAGAAGTGGATTAATACCCGCTCTCGCTCCTGAGTCTCCCCCATTAGTGCAAATGCTTTCAAGAAAAATCTGCAACAGAACAGGACAACCATAAAGGGTCAAGCATTGATGCCATTGCCTCAATAAATATTTGATGTGCAACTTTAACATGAGACATCAGAGACTTGACACACTAATCATAAAATCTAATTTGCAGTTAAACATAGGCAGATTCCTCAAAGTCTGGCAGCTCAATCCCCAGGTCTCAGAGGCTTTTTCTCAGAGCCTGCTAAGAATTTTTGCCCTGAAGTAATGATAGACTGTTTGTATTAGGTTCACAATACTTGCCGACAATCTGAGTTCCAGCAGCTCTCCTACTGCTGTTGAGCACCTTTTGATTGTTGTTCAATAAAACTGAAGAATTCAGCATTAATATCAGAACGTTGTAGTGCACGTGTGTATGTCACAGTGATAAAAATCCCATCAATCATTCTTCCGTTACATAAAACCATCTCAGGAAGATGTGCCACATTCAAACACCAGCTCCTTACTCTGGAAACGGTACTATTTTCTTTTCAGAATTACTTTAGCAGCTGTCTTGTGTGAGACAGTGTGTTTGGCGGTACCTCCATTATAAAACCAGCTAACACCACTGGAGGAACAAATTGCATGCTTACCGCAATGCTAGATAGATGGATACACTCATATGACTGGCCAGTAACAAGGCAAGGTTTAGTGGAGATTTCACAAAACTTCTGCCCCACAACAAATCTTTTGCATGGATGCAATAGCTTTACGACATCCCAGCAGAAATGTCAAAAGTCAGGCCAATCTCTCTCACCTCACCAAAAAGATAGCCATGATGTGGAGGTGCCGGTGTTGGACTGGGGTGGACAAGGTCAGAATCACATGACATCTGGTTATAATCCAACAAGTTTATTTGAAATCACATGCTTTCGGAGTGCTGCTCCTTCATCAGGTGAAGACTTCTGCTTGCGATTTCAAATGAACCTGTTGGACTATAACCTGGTGTCGTGTGACATCTGACCTCACCAAAAAGGGATGGCAAAACAAAGACAGAAAAAAAAGGAGTTTCCAGCCAACAATCTAAAAGGATTGAGATGAAACATCTTGTCGATGTGTAAAAGCAAAGGTAGGTGTAATATTTGTGTGCTACCAGTAGCTGTCACTGTCACATCTTCAATACACAGCTAGTAAATTGAGATGCATGTTCCCAGAGCAAACGGATCCTCAAGATGAGCAGGAGCCAACGGCAAGAATGCTCTCATAATGCTTGATCAAACCACAGGAAGATACATCGAAAATATTGCCTCTTCAGCTAAGACGTGTTGTTTCCTTTCTTGCAGATGAAGTGATAGATGGTGGTGGGGTTGGTCAGAGGAGCAGGGATATTGTGTATTATTCTGAGTGGCATAATCCTAGCAGTCACTTCAAACAACGTGTTGCTGCGCTGTCCAGCCTTTGCGCCAACCCTGTGGCTCTGGTATTCCTGGGTAGGGGAGCAGGTTCAATTCCAATTACCACCTGAAGAAACCCAGAAAATGTGCCACATTTCAGTTCCACTAAGTATAGAGCAAATCTTTACGTTCCAGTTGAGGGTGGGATTTGAGGGGAAGTATTTCCTACACTGCAATAATGAGTGAACACACTTCAAAATAGGATTTCATTGGCTTTAACGAGTGTTGGGAACACCCTGAAGTTGTGAAAGGTGCTATACAAATGCGTTTCCCTCCATAACTCTTCAACACGCTGGTGTGCAGGTAGGTGAGGTAGGGAGAGACCCCTTGCTTTGCCAGGAAATTCCAATCTTTGAGTCCTTGATAGATCTCCGTTCGGACCTCACAGGCTTGCTGAAGATTCCAACCTTTCCCTGGAATGTGTTCTTGATCCCTGACTATATCCAGCACCTACTCTCCCGTTAGACTGGATCCAGACTGAAGCCAAGTCTTGGGATGGCAACTGAAAATTTGACCTCCAGCCCAACTGGAACTTGCCAGATGTGTCAAAGACACAGCAGCAAGTTATTTCAAAGGGGAGTGGAGTGGAGCTGCAATTGGCGAACATTAGGGGGACAAGGAAACTGCCACAAGTAATAATCTCCAGCTTACCTTAGTGATTGGTCCAAGGTCAAACCAGTGAAGTCAAAAAATCTGAGGTATTCTTCAGCCACTAACTTGCTGAATTCATTACTGTGAAGTAGAGAGCGAGAGAGAGAGCGAGAGAGAGGGTTATCTTCACATATTCAGTGAGCCTCTATCCTCTTCAAACAACAATGGATTACGAACTTGAGACTTGCAAATACAAATCTTTCTTAACCAATTTGAAAATGGTGTTCCTCATGAGGAGCAATCGCCCAGTGCAGTGGCACAGTTCCACAAACTCAAATTGTGCATTGGCACCTCGCTGAAGAACCCACCCATCTGGAAGTCTAGCCAATGTTGGCCAGACATTCAGCCTGGTCCCATCCTTGTCTAATTTCTACACAAGCGCCACTTACAGGCACGGGCAGCAGTAGGAAACACAAGTGGTGCTTCTTCACCAAAGGCAGTGAGACCCCAGCTGGGGAGAAGATAGCTCAGAAACACCAGGAACTAAACACAGGATTTTCTGGTCCCTGAGTCAACCAAGGTCTAGCAATTCATGGTCTAGGCCCTCAACTATGATCTACCACACAGTTAATAGGAAAGGTTTCGAGGGATACGGGCCAAACACAGCAAAGTGGGACTAGTTTAGTTTGGAACACTTGATCAGCACGGACTGAAGGGTCTGTTTCCGTGCTGTTATGACTCTATGACTGATAGGTATCTCCTCTTCATCTTAGCTTCATAGACCTCACAACCTCTTAATCAACGAAAATCCATCAATGACCATTTTACAATTTCAACTACATACCCACACAACGTCCATTAGAGATAACAAAGTGTGGAGCTGGAGGAACGCAGCAGGCCAGACATCATCAGTGGAACAGGAAAGATGACGTTTCAGGTAGGGATTCTTCTTCAGAAATTATGAAGAATGGTCCCGACCCTAAACGTCAACTTTCGTGCTCCTCTGATGCTGCTTGGCCTGCTGTGTTCGTCCAGCTCCACACTGTTATCTCTGACTCCAGCATCTGCAGTTCTTGCTATCTCACGTCCAGTAGAGCCCAAGATGCTGCACTGCCTTAAGCACAAATTCTTTCATCCCAATCTAGTCTGAGGCAACACAATGGCACCAGAGCTTTTGTTTCACGAAGCATTTATGATCTGTTACAAATATAATGGATCCAAAAGACATGGTAGTAATTGCTATGATTATTATGCATATTTATGACATCTGGTTTTAATTGAAAAGCTCAAGCTGATTAGACATAAATCAAGAGGATTGAGCCTCACAGTTTTACTTTTCAACACAATAAAGCTGTCTTTTCTCCAGGCTTGCCCTGGTTTCAATTATAGAGACAGTAGAGATCAAACAGTAGCAAATATCATTGTAAATAAATATGTATAAAAAGGAAAGTGATTACCAAGGAACCCTTTAAATTTTAGTAAATTCAGCTCCTGATCTATGAAGGCTGACTTTTAAGTGACAATGAGTTATAGCAAGCCTTCTTCAAACAGGAAGTACTATTGACTTGGGAGTGTCACTAAAGGAAATTAATTATGATTGTATTTCACATGAAAGCAAGTCTAGGACTCTTGATAGTGTGTAGAGGAAATGGCAGGGAAAGCACGAGTCTGATCATTTCATTCAAGCAATGTAACAATGATTGAGTTTTGCAGGTCTTTAGAAGTAGACAACCATCAATTTCATACAATATTTTAGCTTCAATTCTGTTAGTTAAGAATTTAAATGGATATACCTCTTAGCCATTGTGAGCTTTGCAGAATAGCGGTCATTATGTTAGAAAGAAGACAAGGCAAGGGTTAAGGAAAACAAAGAGCAGGAAAAGAGAAATGTCAGGCCATTATTTAGGAAGTGCCCATCATGACCTCAAAACATCCCAACATGTCTTTAAGAACCAATGAGGTATGCTTGAACTGCTGTCACTTTGTTTTGTCGAATACTTTGACTGCTTTTCAACTGAGCCGTTTACTGACCATTTCAGAGGGTAGATTAGAGTCAAGTGCAGTGCTGTGGATCTAAAGTTACATGTAAGCCAGTCTGGGCCAAACAAGTTACAACAATTAATAATTAGCTTCAAAATCATAAATACTGAGACTAGCTTCCAATTGCTGAATTTGTTAATCTAAATTCCACTAGCTGCCATGGTAGGATTAGAACCCAGGCCTATGGAATATTTATCTGTGTTTCTGGTCTACTAATCCAGTGACATTCCCAATACATCACTGCTGTAATGCTGTAGCCAATTTACATACAGCATAAGACTGTAAGACGTAGGAGCAGAAGTACACCATTGAGCGCATTGAGTCTGCTCTGCCATTCAATTCGATCATGGCCGATCTAGTATTCCTCTCTCCACTTTCCTGCCATTTCTCCATAACCCTTGATTACCTCACAGATTAAATGTTTGTGTATCTCGGTCTTGAACTAAACAACTCAGCCTCAACAGCCCTCTACAGTAAGGAATTCCACAGATTCACTACCTCTGAGAAAAGAAACTTCTCCCATCTCTATCTTAAATGTGCAAACTCTGATTCGGAGATTATGCTCTCTGATCCTAGACTCTCCCACAACGGTAAAAAAAAAATCCCCATCTACCGTGGCAAGACGCCTAAGAATCTTGCATGTTTTAAGATCACCTCTCATTCTTCTGTATTCCAACGATACAAGCCCAAATCTACTCAATCTCCTCCCATAAAACTGTTCCTCCATACCTAGTATCAGCACAGTGAACGTACTCTGGTCTGCCTCCAACGCCAATATACCTTTCTTTAGACAATAGACCTAAAACTGCTTACAGTATTCCAACTGTGGTCTGACTAGTGCCTTCTTTAGTTTTGGCAAAACCACCTACATTTATACTCCATTCCTCTTCAAATAAAGGACAGCATTCTACTTGCCTTCCCGATTACCCACTGAACCTGGATGCCAGCTTTCTAAGATTCATAGACTAAGACACCCAAATCCCTCCGTTCTCCAGCTTTCTGAAGTCTTTCTCAACTTGAATAATATTCAGCTCCTTTATTCTTCCCACCAAAATACACAGACTTTCATTTCCCCACATGAAATTCCATGCTAAGTAACAAGGCAATGACTAAACAAACTGACTTAATGATGATGGTCAGGGAGTAAATATTTTACAGAACACCAGCTGCACAGAGACTAGGGTTAGCATCTTATTTCAAGCCTGACAACTCTAACAATACAAGGCTACCTCAGTACTGATCTGATGAATAAACCTGGATTATGTGTTCAAGTCCCTGAAGTGGGAATTGAACCTAACATTTTCTGACAGTAATAAAATGTACATGTTATGTACTAATCCACAGTGAAATCATCAATGCATGGAGCTTATGAGACATCATTAATGACAAGTCGGTCGCAATGAATAAAGCTACAAAACTGGTACCTTGTGCCAAACCAAGGTTAACTGACATAAAAAAAGATGGGACAAATCCCTTACTGCACATGCAAAACATTTGGTTTTGGGTGAGGAATAAAAGTAGTAAGGCTGTTCTTGTCAGTTAAGGGGACATATATGAGACTGTGGAGAAAATCTGAATAAGGACATTCGTGGAACAGTGCAAGATCAGACAGGGATTACAAAATAAAAGTAACATAGCAACTGCTATAGAAGAGATAGTAAGAGCCTCCGATGCTGGAGTCAGAGATAACACAGTGTGGAGCTGGAGGAACACAGCAGCCCAGCAGCATCAGAGGAGCAGGAAAGCTGATGTTTCGGGTCGGGACCCTTCTTCAGAAATGGAAATTAAAATTAAAAATCTGGAATTACGACTCTAATGATGACCATAAATGCAGAAAGCCGTTTCTGAAGAAGGGTCCCGACCTGAAACGTCAGCTTTCCTGCTC